CTCATATTAATAAAGAGAATGTGCAATAATAAAGTAAATATAACATTCTGTATTATTTTTATGTTCGATTTTTTCCCAATGCCCACAAATAAAAAACATGCATTTTCTATTTAAAAAATAAAAATAACTGTTCATTGGCGCAGATTTCATAAATTTTACGCTTAAAATTGAGGTAGGTATCAATTGAAAGGAAAATAAGAAATATCCAATGCCGAGGGCTTGAACCTAGGCACTTACTGATTACCAGTATTTCACGCTACGTTCTTGGATGCTAGGCTTGTTGCTCATTCGTTAACACAAACTCCTTATAACCAAGAAAAACGATTTTCAATTGCAATTTTCTCGGAAAATATGGAGAAGCGCGAGCTACTGCTTTGCCAAATTAAATTTGGAGACGACATCTTCAAATACTGCAAGTTTCAGGAAAATCCGTTTCCCGTCGACCGTGTCCTCTCCTCGTCAGATATTATTGTAAGAGTACATGTGAGGAATTCTATACGGCAGCGGTAAGATCCATGCATGCGGTCCCTTGGAGAAGGATGATTCTTGTTGAAAGTATCTCGACAAAGTTTACCTTTTTTATAATGTAATTAAACTTAGAAAATAAAAATATAACTGTTTTCACTGTCTTCATAATACGAAAATGTTTCCAGAGAAGGTAAATTTTTTTCCCACCATTAATTACAAACTTAAACCTATGGAAAATGATTGTTTTCTATCTTTTACGTAAAGCTACATAAATTTTCTAATAAAATAAAAAAAAAAGTGGAGTGCGAGAAATCTTCCGACGTAAACAAAGAATTATTCTTGCCAATGTATGCGGTGCAAAACTGATTCTATAAATTTTATTTATCACAAACGAAGGAGAACATATTTTAAATATTAGAAAATTGTTTGCATTTCCTACGACAATGAGGAAAGAATCAGCGCAGTTGATTTTTATTTTCTTTCGACTTATACAATAAATAGTAATTTTGTTCAAAATTTCTGTGATTGGTTCAGTTCTACTCCTCACCGTACATTTGAACTATCTCACGCAAAATTAAGTCAGCATGTGAGAAACGCGTAAGAACTAGTTACAATAACAAATAGTTAGCGTCCTAACAGTAGTAAATACATGTTTACGCTCGTGTACAAATTCTCGTAAATGATTGGAAAACACCTTTCTACAATGCAGAAATATAATCCAATCGAAACACCTTAACTGAATGTAAATAACTTGTTCACTATTTATAAAATGCAGCTGACTCAAGTAAGTTAATTCACCTTCAGTTTAACGTTATATAAGTAGATTTGCCACTCTAAGATTTCAGTTAGACTCTAAGGATTCGTGGAAAATTGAAAGGTCACTGAAATTCTCCACCGTTTTAATCTCATTACTCATTACCCTTGAACTAACAAATCTGTAAGAATAGTTACAGAAAAGGTCAAGCGAACAGCCTTTACGAAGTTGATAGTTTAATGTTGCTTAAATTAATAATAATAACACCGATGAAAATAATGATACTAATGATAACAATAACAACCATAAACATAATTTCGAAAAGCAATGAAATATTACAGTAAATAATTTGTGTTAGAATTTAAAGAGACAGATTATCTGTAATAATTATAAATTATGTATTTAATTTTTAATTTCGTTGAATTAATCATTCCTATTTTTTAAAAGTAAATATAAAAAGTTCTGAATTACCTTGCATTTTTGCGAGTATTTCATTTGACAATAAATTACCTTTTGAAGATTTATTTTTAAAGGTGAAGAATATTTAATTATTTCTTTCCTATGTTTTGCACAGGAATATTGATTAAACAAATAAGGTATAAATGCACTATTGTAAAATAAAAATTTCTATTAACAATATTGACTTTGTAAAATATTTTTCATCTTTTATGATGAGTACCATTCAAAGAAAATTGCTACTTCGATAAAGCCTAGTTTTTCATATTTTCTTAACGCACCGTTCAAAGCACGAACTGTGACTAATCCAATTACGCTAATTTAGCGACTCTTCATACGATATTTCCATGAGAAAGATTCTTTACCCGTTATATACGTGGCCTTTTCACCGTCTTTCAAGCTTTCAAAATTGGATAAGATTTTATCACGATATTGGTGATTGAATCAGAATTCGTTTAAAATAAACAGAGGCAAATGTAGATTTCGTTATTAAGAAAACGTTAGACCACTGCACAAACTTACGCGATATTAATTTTTAAATATTGTAGTTATGCATTTTATTTAGTGTACAAAAATTATATACACTACCGGCCAAAAGTTTGGAAACACCTCCCACTTTTCATCAATACTAAATCTGCTGCTAATATTTTATAGATTTGAAGTTTATCTCAATTCTACATTTATCAATTTATCTCATATCGATTGATTCGAACGATAAAAAATTCTCAAAGTCGTCGACTTTTTTCTCGAAATTTTTGTGTAAATTGCAATGCTCAGTGATTCCGAACTTTTGGCCGGTAGTGTAGATCATGTTTCATGTTTACAAACTGCACTATTGAATTTTTCTACTTTTCGTATATCTGTGTCTATTGTCACATAGTTAGTTTCCTGCCTTTGTTTCTTTTTTCTGCTATTTCACGACGAGTTTATAACTTCAATTTTGCAAACTATGCAGAAAATTGGATTTATCTTAAAGCTTTATGCGGAATTGTCACGAAGATATACAATTATGGAAGTTAAGTTCAACACGTTCGAATAATTTTATCAGCACTGTGTGCCCAGCACGTCGGATGATATCTCAGTTACACTAATGTTACGAATATTTCAGTATTTTCTCCGAATTCTCTGTCTATATTGTAGGTGACCTTGCCAGAATTACTTCCAAGATTGAATTCATTCGAAAAAATTACAAATTCGTATTTATTTTAAATTCCGAAAAAAGGTTAACAGAGCATAATTCTGAAAAAGGGTTTCTTGGCGCAACGCGATTCTTCATTTAAGTTTCGATTTATGATTTCAAAACAAATAAAGTTTTCCTTAAGTAAATGAATGTTTTATTAAAAATATTATTCTGCTATAGTACTTAATTACAACTAAAAGTAGAAGTTGTAATTATTTTGCACTTAGTTTTTAGAAAAACAATGCAAATTTAGGAAAGTGTCTTTTGAGGGTTAGGTACTGCCTCTCAGGTGCATGTTCGAGTTTATTCAACCCTCCACAAACAATATACGTACTTGTGATGTTTGTTCCTCTTATTTACGTTAGTTGAATGTGTACGCTTAGGTGACGGAAATTTGCCTTTTTTCAAAAGAATCCTCTTTCTTCTATATGACCGCTTCACATAATTTCCTCACTATGGCGATTAATTTTTCCATTGTTTCCGGTTTAATATTGCTCCAAGCTTCTTACACATATTTCTACAGATCTGTTTTAGGTATTGGACTTTTTTTTTATATTTCTGTCCAATTCGTCCTACAAATACTCAGTCGAATTATAATTTCAATTTCAATCCTACATCACACTTGTGTAATGCGATTTTAATGCGCAAGTACAGTACCTCTAATAACACTACTGTATAGGTTTGTATGAAGAAGCTTTCTCCGAATAACGAGTAGTGCTCTAAACTTTTGAGCGGCAGTGTACATATTTACATAATGAACAATACATATTAGTCGAAATCCGACATTTCGTGTTCACCAACGTAATATTTATGTGGCCGTTTAATGAAAATGCGTTCCGTCATTCAGAAGCTTACAATAAAATCGTATTGTTCGTGTCTCAATTAAGCAACTGCTGTGTTATTTGAAACGTGTACGGAAATATGTAGATGTGAATTTTTCTTCACGATCCGCCGTAAAGAGCAATTCGTTAGCTCCAGTTACATAGCATAGCATCAAGTTGACATTCTGACCTTTCAAGCAGGTCGTCGCACACACGAACAATGGTACAGTGCAGCGTTGGAAGGAATGCTAGCGGAAGGAATGCGGGTCTGATTGGTCATAGTGTAATAAGACCACCTTCTCTGACACAATCATAAAGACAGGGCACACGTATTTTTATCATTGGCCGAAACGGTCACGTAGGATCATACAGCATCGCGTGACGAAGAGAACGAACGAGACAAATCGAGACCGAATCGGATAGAACAATAGCGAGCGATTTGGGACATAGCACCCTCGAATACGGGGGATCCTGCTATAGGCAACCCTCCTATGACTCTGAGGTGCAGAAATAGCGACAACTCTCCCATAACGCGGTATTTTTATAACAGAGTTTCCATGTAGCACAACTTGATGAACTTAGGCAACCCTCATACAGCACGAATTTTTCCATCACACTGTTTCGGGACGCGTCATTTTAACGCATTTCGAATTTCACAGAAACCGTTTACATTTCTCTCCTACCACTTACGTATTGGATTATGGGAGTTATTGGTTGTTAAATAATTAATAATCATTATTTTAAACTACAAACTTTTATTTGACACAAGGAAGGTTCGCTTTTCTACTTGATGGTAAGAGCACTGTATACAGACTGAGAATGCCCCTACGCAACGCCCTAATATTGCCTACGACCCCGCTTGGGACCGAAGGGCCCTTTGTCACGTATCATAAACATTTAGATCTTTACTAAACAGAGGTGGTAAGGCTAAACGGATTTCTCCGAACGTACACAAAAGTAATATATGCTTCCTAGTAAGGCTTTAGATTAATTTTTGTTATATCTAACTTTTTTTTTTAGGGTCCGAAACCACCGCCGAGTTGGAGTGCCTCAGCCCGGGCGCAGGGAATCCGTCTTGCGACATAGGCGTCCCGCACCCGGCGTTGGGTGGCCGGTGGCAATAAGGTTAACCCTTTGGGTACACATTTATTTGAAAATTTTTTTGCACTTGGAGCACATTTAATTTTGTGGGCAAGTAAAAGCAGTAGACTTTATGCAAGAATTAATTTATTTCGTATTATTCATTATATATACTCTTACATAATATTGAAATAACTTTAGGCAGTTAGTATTACAAAATACTCTTAAAACAAATAAACACTGGTTATAATAACATTTAACATTTTCTTTTTCTTCCCAAATCCACTCATCTAATTTTGCACGAGAAGATTCACTATCACTGCTTGATAAGCATCTTGTACGTCTTGGAATAATTTCACTATCGTTATCACTTTCTAGTTCGATATATTCTTCATCATTTTCATTTTGAAATTCCCCTTTATCGCTTAAAGGATCATTAAAAAATTCTTCGTCAGATTGTTCAAGATCACTACTTTCATTAAAACTGTCGCTATCACTTTGATAAAATATATTCTCTATTTCTGCCATTATGGGGTTGTGTATCCCAAACAAGGTTCACCAAAATACTGAAATTATTTGTTCTGTTGCAACAGATACGCATTACTTTGAAATAAACCAGTCAAATATAATACAGTCAAATTTTACAATAAGATTGCAAACTGCGTTAGTAGTTAGAGCAGGAGAACTACAAAGTTTTTATCGCAATATACGGAACATTGAAATTCTTTTCACAAACTGTTTGACAATTATTTGTAAACACTGATCTTTTCTAAGCCTTTTCTAAGCCTAGATCTTCTAAGCCTTGCTGATTATGAGAAGAATATCTAAGTATGTGCACGAAGGAACGAACCGCATTATAATGATTTATAGGATTTGTCATGACCTGTATTGTACTTTCTATTGACCGACTAGACCCTGCTAGCGACATCATTGAATACATCGAGACCACTTACAGTTATCTAGTTCTCTTTCTCCGATGAATGCTGGCGGCTAACTTAGCGATTAATTGCTCCTGTTGTGTTTATCCCTTATCTTTAATTATTGCGGTCAGGGAAGCTATCTCACGTCTATCTACACATACATATGTATGTATATAAAAGACGCTAAATACTTGCTCGAGAATTGATAAAGGATACCTAACGAGAACCATAAAGTGTAATTCCTTGTTTTCTTAACCTCTTCAGGGATGATATTTTTTGAAGTTAGCAAAAATTGATCTAATTTTTTATGCAGTTACATTTATATTCATGTTAAATCGATAGCAATTAAACTACTTTCCTTGGGAGATAGTGTTTTTCATATTTTCTCTATGGCAAATATTGGAATTTTCGGAAAATTTAAAGGTACGCATGTGTGTCGGTGTCCCTGAAGAGGTTAATTGATTATTTCCGTCATCTGCAAACTGCTCGAAAAGTAAGTTAGAAGAAAGATTCGGTAACAGTATAAAAATCTCTATTGTTCTTCTTAATAAATGCAGGGAAGAGTCGTGCAGTACCGACTGACGTACATTACCGTCCAAAGGCTAATTCTCGCCTCCACCATTAATTAGCTGCACTTTACGCGCATAAGCGAATGAATAATACAGTTCATGTTACCAACCGTTTTAAGATGTTAAACGTGTAGGTTAATATTTAACGAGTAAAAAATTATTTTTCAGAGCTGACCTCTTGTTTCTCAGATAATTAAATGATTTTTTCATATCGTATACACTATCTTTAGTGTATAAGGTGTAAATAAATAGCATTAGTTTTGCAATTTTACACGTGCTTGTCGTAAAGCACCGACCAAATTTTTTCGTTTCTTTCTCCTGTAATTAAGGTTTTCAATCTGTTATTAACTAAAATGAAATTAAAAGAAGATAAGCCAACAAAGAGGAAACTAGAGTTTAACGAAGAAATCACTGGTGCATCGTTTGCAAACAGTCATTTGACGAAGATTCGGTACAGTGCGTCAAATGTGAATGTTCAGTACATGTCGAATGTACAGATCAAGAAAATATGGATCATTTCATTTGCGATGTATGTAAACATAAATTTGAAATATGTAGAAGTCTTCTATTCTAACATTCAAATGTCTGTTTACTAAAATTATTAATCACTTCGACATCAAAATTTACTAATCAAGTTGCTAGTCGGTACTGGCCGATAATTTTTCATTCGTTACTATTGGAAATGGGTTATGGAAATGAAATAGTCTTTGCAAACTGTTAATATCGGACTCAGAGGAAACGTCTTTACTGTTTCAAATGCTCTAACGTGCATCCAAAAAGGAAAGTTGGGGTCCGCTTATAACCTAGGAACTGTTAATGCCAGAGAAATGGTAGTTAATCTTAGAGGACACACATTGCACCTACAGCGAGGAAAAACAGTATTCGTACACTCTTCAAAACGGTATAACTTTTTTAAAATAGGGCCAAACTTGAGTTTCGTTGTGAAGTTATAAGTATTACAATTTTTCAAAAATTACAATTGGTTGGAATCGCGAAGAAAATAGCGAAGGTCGATTTTACAACTTTTTTATCTGAGCCCGTAATGAAAACTTAAAAAACACGTTTTGTAGATTTACGCCAGTTATATACTGCTAGTCGCAGAATTGAGTGTACACTCGTATTGAATCTATATTTCTTAATATATAGCAAAGAAAATTGCAATAATTAGTGTAGGAGGTGGTCTAATGAACTTTACTCAAATCAGGATGTAGAATCTATATTTCTTAATTGCAAAGAAAATTGCAATAATTAGTGTAGGAGGTGGTCTAATGAACTTTACTCAAATCAGGATGTCGTGCAAAGTAGTTTATTTCGGACTCTTCGGCGTATTACCGAAGCTAAGAACCGACTGTCGTCGAAAGGCAAAGATATCGCTGGGCCGAACCAATGGGTACTCGGGTCTGGTGTGCAAAATGCCTACATTAATAAATTTAAATATTTACTTTTATTGTACTACCATTCAAATTCGACTGCTAAATAAATTTTCTTTAAAAAGTAAACTAGTTTTTTTCTTCCTTATTGTTTCCAAACATGCAACGATTTTACCAACGCATACTTGAGCGTACAGAATGGGAATCCCCTAAAAATGAATGTTGTTATGCATTTGTTTTCCAATTTTATTATAGAAAGACTACTACGCAACATCGCAGAACACATTACGTCCATTGTTTTAATCTTCGTTTGTTACTTTGCGTCAGTTACAACAATGGCTCCGGAAAGAAAGGAAACAGATGTTTCTGTTCGTCAAATTATTGTTAATTTATATTACAAAGGGAAGTCTCTTCGGGAAATTGGCAGTATAATTGGTAGAACTCATTCTACTGTACATAAAATAATTAATAGATTTAGATATGAAGGTACAGTACAAAATAGAAGCAGTCGAGGGAGAAAGAAAATTCGTTCCGAATATGGCGAGCGATAATAACGCGAGACCTAATACCAGTGTACCAAAATTAACCCCTTAACATATGACAACGTGTCAGACTCGTGGCAGAGATTTTGGCGAAGATGTGACAGAAATAGTTGTATTAGTAAGAAAAATTAATAATAATCCTAAATTTCGTTTAAATTTGTAAGACCGAGGATTGCTAAATGTAATTAATCTGACAGATTAGCTTTTGTTACCTGATACAGTACTAAAAGAGAAAATGGCTGACGCTTAAATGCATAGTCGGAAAAGAAATCATAGGTTAAGGGGTTACCAGTAGATGTTTCCTCAAGACTTGATAAATCTGTGTCAAAGGGTACAATTCGCCGTGTATTATATATTTAAGTATATACGTAGTATTATATATTTAAAAAATTTTGTTCAAAGGAATATATTACATAAATAAAAAAATTATACGACAAAAAGTTATGTCATTACCCTATTCTCTAAATAAACATACTTCTAATATGCGTGTACACTCAATTTTGCGATTAGCTGTACATGCTGAAAATTTCATCGAAATCGGTCAACGAGCTACGCACAGTTAAAAATTGTAATTTTTTCAAAACTTTTTGTACATGTCATCTGGTAAACTAACCATGTTCGGGTCGCATAATGTTCGATGCTTAAGTGCCGAACCGGTACGCGAGTTTAATCACACCTTGATTTATTCAGTGTGAAATGCTAAGAACTAGTTTTATTCGCAACAGAGTGATACTTGAGGTGATGTCGCCACGAGACTATCAAAATACTAATTTTCGTAAGACCACTGCTAAGACTTCCAAAAAAGGACGCGCTTCTGCCTTGTTTCCTTAGTTTTGGCCAGTTGCTGATTGATGGCTGATTTCTTCTGGGGGTTGTAGGTGGTGACTCCTCATTGGAGGAGGTTGTTTAGGTGGGACGCAGCTCTTTCCAAGGGAAGGGGATTGTTGCTTAACATTAGAAAACCCCCATTTTTGGGTTTTTCCCAGGGGTTGCCGCGTGACTTTCCACCGCGCACGTGACCTCTCCAAGGGGGTACGGTACGCGCGAAGTGTAATTGAACAAGTTAAATTGTTCCGAGGGTTAATTGTTCCGAGTTAAAAACCGAGGGTTTGTCGCGATTTCTTGCGAGGCAACAAACCAGTTTAACTTTCCAAAAACTTAGGTCCAATTTCAAAAAAGTTATTCTGTCTCAAAAGGTATACGAATACTTTTTTTCCTCACTATATGTATATTACGCAGTTATATAAGAATAAAACTGTATAATACGAAAATCGTTAGACGAAGTGCATCGCTGAGCATTAACAATGTAATAAATAGAAACTTAGTAAGGAAGAGGGGTCTTACGATAGTACTTTGCGATGTACATTGTAACAATATGTAAACATTTTCGCATTATTTGCTTCATAAATAGAGAAAACTTCACCTATAGTAACACTGACCTTTGGTTTAATTTAATAAATGACTAATTAAATTACCATGTTTAAATATTGAGTGCTGTTCAAGAGTTCAAATATCAGTCGTTAAATAATGAAAAGCCTAATGCATACATATGAATTTATGTAACATTGTTCATACCTACAGAGACTTACGTTAATGCTAAATGTATCATTGTTTACTTTTATAATAAGAAGCTTCCCTAATCTAAAAAATATAAATTTTCAAGCTTCTCTAGATACATTTAATGCAAGAACTTTCTTACCGTATGACACATGTAGAACATTACCCGAAACAGGTGACATTCCACCTACTTTCAACAATAAATTGTCACCTTCAATGTTTTTGCGAATTTTTTCAAAAATCGCTCACTTTCTCAAAACAATCTCTACACGCAAAGACACACAGTGTTCCCAAATGCAAGCATAGTAATAGTAAATTCTCCACAAGTGTCAGTCCGCAAGGAACCTAAACCTGACACTTGTAGAGTCAGGGACTACGTTTTCGAGCCTCGCGCCCGCCTTTGTAGTTTGCCGAACGTAGACAAGGACAGCGAATAAAAGATAAAGATGAAACGTGAGTCGAGGCAACCAAGCGATTTAAACATCAACTTTATTAATTTTACGTTTTTTTATCCCGAAAATTTCAGATGAAAAAAAGTAAAATTAAAGAAATTATATTTTTCTATTATGA